TTTTTAGGAGATCTGAGTATGATGCACTGGTGACAGTGGTCCCTCTGGGTATGTAGTGCTCCAAGATGATGCCTTTTTCATCCCAAAAGAGAGTCAGCATAACCTTCCTGCTGATGGTTGTGTTCAAAACTTCTTCAGTTTTGGAGATGAGGAATGGCGCCATTCCTTGCTCGCTCTCTTCGTTTCCAGTTGGTAAAGCACCACAGAAGTTCTTCACAAGCATCAATACATCGGTCTTTCAATTCAAGAGTCAGCTGCCGTGGCACCCATCTTGCAGACACTTTATGAAACTGGAGCACATCGTGCACAATGTGGTGTGCTGAACCATGACTAATGTTTAAACTTGCTGCAATTTCATTCAATGTCACTCGGCGGTTTTCCCTCACTATGGCTTCAACTGCTGCAGTGTTCTCTGGAGTCACAACTCAATGTGCCTGACCCGGACGAGGAGCATCTTCCACTGAAGTCACACCATTTGCAAACTTCCTACTCCATTCGTACACTTGCTGATGTGATAAACATGCATCACCATACTGAAACTTCATTCTTCGATAAATTTCAATAGGTTTCACACCTTCACTACACAAAAACCGAATAACAGAATGCTGTTCTTCCCTGGTGCCAGTCTCAAGTGGGGAAGCCATCTTATACTGGTGCTATGACAGTGTTCGTGCATCTGCACTATGCTGCAACCTACAGGCCATTCTGCATGCTGTTTGTAGCACGCTTACCAACTTAAAGGATTATGGTGTGAAATTTCAATTTTTTATTACAAATTTAAGGTTTTTCTTTGACTCACCCTCATACATAAGAAAATCTCCCATAAAATTAGCTTCATTTCTTAGCACAGTGCTATAAAGCGTGATTTCAAAATAGCTACAACATCCTTCTATAACCTTCTGTGCCTTGCCCATGATGATCATGCCAATAAGAATAAAGTGCACCTCACCTGCATTACTTTCTTTCAAACCTTACAGCCATGTTATGACGTACGTATCTAGAAGTCAGGAGACACACTTGAAGGTTACACATTTCAAACATTTTCAGACATACGTAGTAAGCATTCATCACAATTTGTGTTTTTACGAATTTTATAAACTCTCATTTTATTCTATATCCTTATCTTCGTGAAACACTTTCCACATGTTTCAGAGAATTCTACTATAAACATCAACACCATCAGCAAAAGGACTCACTTCATTCCCTCCCTCAGTACAATCTCGCTGCTGTTGCGCTTGTATGATCTGTTGCAGCGGCAGCAGCTTCCCCAGCAATCGCAGACAAGTAGAAGGATATCTGTGTGTTTCAGGATGTGTTGCCATATTGGTAAGGGCATCCAGTGATGACTCAGCCAACCTGTACCAAATATCACATAGCATTAGAAGACAGACAACAGAACCCTGAGTTAACCCTTTCTGGTCATCGTGTTTAGAAAAATTTCTGCAGGCAAACCATCAGGGGTTTTCAAATGCCTGCTGAGCCATGTTGGTGCAACAAGAGTAAAAGTTAAAAGAACCAAATGTGTACTTGTGTACTTGCATTTTCAACTGCCCAAATCTTGGGCCAACTCAGCATTGCTATAGCATCTGTCAGTGAAATGGCGGTAGTCTTCAGTACCAGACAGACTGAGTCACATTCTGTCCATCAGGGAAAGAACTATTCTTGAAATGAATAATTTTTCAGAGTATGGTAACTTACACACATCACCTGTAAGTTTTCCGAAATTTTGAATTATACTGTGCACATAACTAGGGTCACTTTCAGCTAATGCAAATATTCTGATACCCCAATTCGTTGTTTTTTGTTTGGGATTATAAATTTCGAAAAATATTTTGTGCTTGAACCCAACTGTTGATTCATCTATTACAATGTTTTTACCAGGCACAAAATTTTTCTGAAGTTGTTTGTCTATACATTTTATCACCCCATGTACTTTCTTGTCTTTTTGACTGCCCGATTTGCGTTACTTGGTCGCATCATTTCCCCACAAGCATCATCGGCCATTGTCATGTCTCCCCACCCACCAACACGCAACACTTGTTTCACTCTCACTCCCACTTTCTGACATTTCGTTGCTTGATTCTTCACTTGCAGTTTCACCTTCAATTTCCAAATTCATCTCATCATCAGAGTCAATATCGAGTTCTTCACCTAACATATTGCTACTAGATTCATCATCCGCATCACACATGGGATTATATCTAGTTTGTTCAATCCAGAGGGCCATGGTTCGGCTGAAAGTTAGAGCATGCTACTAACACATGACACGTTGTAGTATATAAATGGCATTTGTTCCTCAAGAAGTTCAAATTATGTCTTCCAGATGACAGAAGGACGTGGACAAAACATTCATGCATGCGTTGGTATAGTCTACAGTGTCAGCTAGTGATGTGTGATCGAAATATGACCGCAGAAACATGAAGCAACTTTGTCGATAATATATCAACATTTGTCCATGGAAGCACAGTCACCATGTTCATTATACGAGGGTCGTACTGAAAGTCATGAGAAACAATTTTTTGTAAAGTAACGTGCTTTATTGTTGACAAACCAAATACACCACCTCAAGAATTTGCCACTGTATTCTTAAAGCTGGATGTGACATAGCAAATGAGATTGAAAAAAGCTCACCCTGTTTGGTGGAACTGTGGAGAAGATGTGCTCGCAAACACAGATGCTACAAGATGGTCTGCCAGTTTTTCACATTCTGGAAGTGGCACACCCAGTTGCAGCCATGAAGCAGCACAACACGATGCCTGGCACATTACTTCAACTGCTGTTTCATTATTAGGTGCTGAAGTATCAGTTGCAAGGATGTTTTGCAATACAGATATGACTATAAAAAGTACAAATCAAAATAACTTTCAACTGCAAGTCTTAATGATGAAGATGAAGGCAGTACCACAAAAAGTGTTTTAAGTAGTGAGACAACATTCTGTCTGCGGCAATGGGTGAATTGGCACAATTTTCAGAGACAAGAGAGTGAAAGTCCTCTTTATCAATTTGAACACAAAAAGGGACAATCCAAAGTTCAATGTTTTGCAGTAATGCCCCCAAGACTTATAGACCTTACACCTATGGATTTTTTCTTCTAGTGCATTGTTAATGACCANTTCTTCATAGTCACCGCCGTGAAAGCCTCAAATCTTACAATCATAAATTTTAATTTTAGTTTGTTATTTAATGACACTGTCAGTATTGAGACTATACAGTGCCGATGACAGGATGATTAGTGAATACAGAGCAGTTTATGGAATTAGAACTGGCAGGAGAAAGCATGCCCCAATGCCACTTTCTCCACCACAAAGCCTGCAAGCTGGTGACTAATTTCTGGAGGTACAGCATGGCCCCAACAACCATAAAATAGCTGAAGGTTCAGATCACAGAGGTCAGTGCAATGACTGATCACAGTATTCTCCAAAATGTGGCAGGGGGTTGAATACTGCTTTTACATTGCTGGAACCACTTGTGCTGCTCACTCTAAGCTTCATAAATTTTTAACAGTTTTCAGGTATATCTTTCCGATGGATTGTATTGTATTGTATTTATTACACGTTCCAGCACATTGATACAAGGCCGAAGCCATTGGATACAGAACCTGTCACACCACAAGCTTGCTAAATCAGCAAGTAGCCAACAGAACAATGCATATAAATCCACAACAATAAATCTAGCATATGAAACCCCTACACAGCACTCCAACTACATAAGCTATATAAGATATAATACAAAATTAGAACATATATATGACAATAGATCAAATAATGGGTCATAGCTAACAAGAAACTATCCCTAATTAAAATATTAATCTAAAGTGTAATAGGATTTACTATGTAAAAAGGCACTTAAAGCTGAGCTGCTCCAAATTGCTTAATATCATGGATTAACTTCTTTATATTTAAAGGAAGATGATTAAAAAAGTTTAATACCAAAATACAAGGTGGTTCAAGTATGACCGGGACTGATTTCTTTTTTAAACCAAAATTGCCAAACACTTGCTTGCACATGTCAGTCTTCAACGTACTCCCCTCTGGAGTCAACACATTTTTTCCAACGTTCTGGAAGCATCCTGATGCCCTTTTCAAAAGTTTTGTGGTTGGTGGCGTATCCACTCCCGAGCATTCTGGATGACGGAGTCATCCACAAACCGCATGCCTTGCAAGTCTGATTTGAGCCTTCCCAATAGGTAGAAATCACTTGGTGCCAAATCGGGACTGCATGGCGGATGTGTCAGAAGGTTCCATTTCAATTTCCGGATGGTTTCCATTGTTGTTTTGGCCGTATGGGAGCATGCATTGTCTTGAAGGAAGGCTACCTGCTTTCCACCTGTCTTCCACTTGGATCGGATCTTTTCCTTCACGTCTGTTGCCAGGAGGTCTGAGTAATAAGCTGCATTGATTGTTCTGGCATCTGTCAGAAAGTCTACATGGATAATAACCCCCTGCCAGTCCCAGAAGAACGTTGCCAGCACTTTTCCTGCCGAACGGCTCCTCCGCACTCCCTTGGGTTTGGGAGAACTGGTATGCCGCCACTCGCATGATGATTGCTGGGACTCAGGAATGAAGTAGTGCAGCCACGTTTCATCGGTGGTCACTATAGACTTCAAAAATGCATCACCTTCATCTTCAAAGTGCT